CCTGCTGGAAAGCAGAGTTCTTGCTCTGCCCTTCCCTGCTATGGAAGCAGTAGCAGAAGATACTTAAGCCATCTGTATCCTCACTTTTTCTCTAATTTGTAATTTTAATAAAATCCCATCTGCTCCAGTTATAACAATCTCTTCACAGTCCAAAATAGAAGGGAATTTTAGCAGTTTATTCTCCACTTATATTCCAGAGCAATTGTTTCTGATCATCCTTTATATAATGATACACTTTGTGTGGCTCCTGTTTTAAGAGGTGCTGATGATGACTAATAAGGTTTTAGCATTAACTGTACTGCCCTTGTGTGCCATTATCCACCACAGCTCACTCTTTTTCTTCTGGAAACATGCATGTGTTGCATTTTCCAGGCCAATCTATTGCATAGAAATTCTGTCATGATACTTTTCCTTCCATCTCTGGGACAATGCAGCTGGCATCCTTAAAAAAGTATTATTTAAAGACATGACATGCACTTTGGAGTGACATATCATTTATTTGAACATATTTCCAGTACTTCCTGTAGTAGGAGGCCATGCCTTCAGCATTCAAACCCATGGCCTAAACCATGGACACTCACAACAGACCATTTCACTAATTTCACTCAGCTGTCCCCTTCAGGCCAAAATCAGCAATACTTTGCCATATGAGCTCTACTCTTCTATCACAGAACAGGAAGAATTTATTTTGAGTTGATATAGGCCTACAATGTTTTAATCTTACTACTATGTCAACAGTGTCTTTTTGCTTCTGGTTTCAGTCAAAAAGCCAAATCCACAGCTGAGTCACTTTCTTTGTAAACTGAGTAGATCTGATATGTAAATGATGGACATCAGAATTTCTGTCATGTCCAGAACGTTTTTATCAGCAGGTATTTTCCCCTGCTAGAAGCTTAAGTAGCCTAGGATATATACTTAGAGCTTTGAAAACTAGGACCTAGTGCTAATGGACCTTTGCTCAACAGAGCACATAGACAAAGTCCTCTTAAAAGTAATTTTTTCTTCCCTGAACTGGTAAGTACGGGGTACATGAAAAAAAAACAAACAACTGCAGCTGATTTCTAGGAGGCTTGAGTCAGAAATAAGCACCCTGGATCTGAACACTGTCTTACAGAGTCTTGGAATGCTCAGCCTCTAGCTGGGCTCTCTGAACTCTCTTGAACTCAGTCAGTTTTAGGAATTACTCATTTCTGTCTTTATTCATTCAAAAATTGTGAAAAGTTGCTATAATTTAAGGAGACAGGGAATTCACCCGTGTTGGTTCAGTTATTCTTATATTTGTGCTTAACACTGGAAAATCGGACACTGACTATTGACATTATTTCTTCTGAATTAGTATATACATCAAATATCTCTCCTTTAGCTTATTGTTATCAATCTTGGCCTTCACATTCTTCATACTGGTAATTTTCTGAATAGCTCTTAGATTTTTCTTTATTTTTAAGCATTTTCCAGTCACTCATATTGTCTTTTCAGTCTGACTTCTACAGTTACTAAATAGTGATTTCCCTGCAGTAATAAATACTGGAAACAGTAAGTGAGATGAATATAACCATGTACTACAGGACTTCTCAGACAGAGCCAGATTTAACAAAAAGAACCTACTGAACTTATTTTTGTTTTTTTTTTTTTTTTTTTTTTTTTTTTTTTTTTTTACTGAACTATGTTGGCAAAAGCAGGCTAACTTATTAGTTTAGTTTATGGCTGATGGTTGACAGCACACTGTGTGCCACCAGACCATTTTAGCTGCTGTTTCTCATTCAGAGAATACAGAAATAATAAGCCTTTATTGGTCCAGTTCCTCATGGCAGATTTGACACTTCTGGATTCTTGGATCACTGTTATGTAGACACCAAATACTGTACTTGGGCTGAGTACCAAGATGTAGACATCAAGCCAGTTGGCATTTTAAATAACTTTCAGTTTTATTCTATGGAGTTATACAAATTATATGCCAGTACAGGATCTGATCCAGAAGACACATTCTAGATATTACTCCAACATCTATGTCAGAACTGAAGTAATAATATTCATCAAAATAGCAACATTATATTGAAGAAATAATTTTATAGATCTTTACTCATAGCATCTGATTATGACTTTTGGACATTTTTCATTCCGAATTCTGTATCTATCAACCCTGCTTTTTTCAGTTTAACCCTCTGTCTTAGCCTTTCTACTGCAGTTTAGGATAAACACTCCAAAATTCCAAGAAGTTGCAAGTTTTGGATGAGCTACTGGCAGCTGCAATCCTGCAAATGACCCTGCTCCAAGCATGGCAAAAATGCTGCGGGCCAAACTGAAACCCAAGCCATGTATCAGATGTAAAGTACCAAGAGCCAGCCAGGTCACAGAAAAAGAAGAGCTGTCTTCACATCCTGGACCCCAGGCCTTTCTGCCACTGAATGCTCATCCAGGAAAATAACTGTTTCAGTTTTTTGGTTTTTTTTTCTTTTTTTTTTGTTTTTTTTTTTTGTTTTTTTTTGGTTTTTTTTTTGTTTGTTTTTTTTTGTTTGTTTTTTTTTTTAAATCTTCAAAGATTGTATTTGTCAAACTTTGTGGAGGCATAACTAGAAACAGATTAATCATAATTTTCTAAACAAAGCACAGAAGTGAATAAAATGTGTTTTAAGGAAAGTTATTCTCATAGAACAACACTGTCAACATTCATTTTTTAAACTTTTATGTATGTTTTAACTGTGGAGTTCAGCAACAAGTTTCATTACTTTCTGCACTGCAAATTTAAAAAATGTGGAAAGAAACTTTTAATCTGATTGTCCATAGGGAAAAAAAAAATCAGTTAAATCCACGATACAGACTTATGATTCATGGAAGCCATATGACAGAGGAAGAATTTTAAGTCTAGAAAGACCATTTGTCAAACAGACAATTAATATGCAAAACAGTAATGCTACACCAGGAATATTTTTTCACTCTGTAAAAGTACATTACTCCATCTTGACTCCTCATGGAAACATCATCAAATTCTAGTAGAGATACATCTTCTGGATAACCATACAGAATAAGCAATATCAATTAATACTCAGAAATCTGCCCAGGCTGGGTTAAGTAGAGGAAGAAATCAGTTTCTTTGGCCACAAACTTTTATGGGGGTGATGATTTCCAAACACTGCATGCTAAGTCTTCGTTTGGTGGGTGGCAATCTTCAGCCCAAACTGGAGGAAGACTGCCTTTTAAACCTCAAGCACTATATCCCTCCCTACCTTCTCGACTAACAAGCACTAAAACTGGCATATTTTGGTTGGAGAAAGTGACCCAGACAGAGAGATACTAGAATTATCACCTAGGTCTTGATACATGAATTCTGAACCTGTCACTGATGATAAGCTGTGCTATAACAAGCACAAGGCTATTTGCTTTCCTCAAGTATTGTAGGGTCCCGCTCCTGATCAAGATGAAGAGTTAGAATTTTGATAGGACAATTTGTAGAAACAGAAGAACAAAACATCAGAGGTAGAAAAGGAGCAAAATATCATTTTCCTGTTAGTTTGTTATACTGGTTAAACACAACCCTGATTCTCCATTCCTCTGTAATGAATTTTTTCTTTGATTATCTGCAATGAACTATTTATCATCTGCCCTTATCTAGTAGTTGTTAAGATTTAAAGACTTATTACTTGAATTCTTTCTTACTTTTGCATCTGTTTTTTACTCAGGTATGAATAATCCAAGACACAAATAGTATAGTCTGGAGAAAGAACAGTACTTGAAACAGCTTTTATCCCATTTTCTAAAGAAACTTAATGCAGGTACATCCAGATTACTATTTTGTGCTCGACACTAGTAGTATCTGATACTTCAGCATGAAAAGAAACTGGATTACTGATGTACAAGGTTTTCCCTTCTCAGCTAAGAGATGGCTTAGGACCCATTTCAGATCCAAGTAGGACAAGGTTACCCTGACTTTGTGTGTGCCTGTATTTAGGGCAAGGTGTTTATATTCAGGAAGATGCTTTTCTCTGTGTCATATCTCTCTTTTTTTTTTTTTTTTTTTACTTCAAATGCTAGATTATGTTATTTAGTAGCTAAGGAATTATGATTTCCATATCGCTCTTCCTCAAAAGGATGTAATTTCAAGATATACTTTATTTTAATATCAGTAATACTATATTTACCTATATATGACTCCTGAAAACAGAGCAAGACTGTGTCTGATTCTTGCCATTTCTTTCCTGCAGCACATCTGGTCTCTGAGGCTCATTAATGGATATCCCCAGAAGCCAAAATATAAGTTTCAAATTAATCCTTAGAGTAAAATGCTCTGAAAAAATTGCCATTCACTTAAAGAATGGAGTGATCTGATCTTTTTTACTTTGACAAGTTGTTACTGAAATTCTGTAGTGTTTGTTTTTTCCATCCTGATATAGCTTTATAAACCCTTTTAAGCATGCAATTTTAAACAATTTTGTTTAAAAGCAAAACAAGATTGATTGATTAGAAACATAACTGATACCTGCTTTCTTTTTAAACTTTTGTGGTTTGGTTTTGTTGAGGTTTTTTTCTTCATTTGAATAGATTATCTGTAGTGCCAGGTACAATATCAGAAATGCACGGTGACTTCAGCACGTCAGAAAATAGGTGTGAATGGTAAATAATGCCTTGACTTAGTATTTAGTGAGGTAAATAAAATGCATGCAGTCTTCTTGATGGAAAGATCAAAGTGATCAAGACCAGGGATACCTTTTGGGAAGGATGGATTTTTCTCTGTTAGATGTTCTTCCAGTGTTTTCTAACCAGTGAAACTTTGTGCTCGTGTACAAGACTTCAGGTTAAGTTCTGCTATTATTTATACATACAGTCCCATCGAGGCCTGAGTGAAAACTCAGCCAACACTATTTCTGGCTCACTTGGAGTAGGTGAGAAAGCAACCCTGCTTTACTCGGTAAATTGTAAACATAATTTGAAATTGTCATACTATAAATAGATAATAAACACATATGCTCTCCAATTGTGGCTGGACTGGATACAGAAGGGGAAAAGTCTGAGTCAAAGAACTGAATTTAGAAATCCACAAATCCTGTTCTGGACAATCACATGTGTTGCTGTTGCACTGGTTTGTATTCAAACAACTTGTTCTATTACATAAACATATCTGCAGGAAACATCAGCTACCTATGTGGGTAGCTGAAAAGTAGTATAAGGAACATAGAACCTGCAAAATGTTTTAGTATTTTTTTGATTTTTGTTTCAGACACTTGTAATTATTCAAAAAACTTGATCAACTGTGTGGAAGTGTAAGTAGGTATTAAGACAATATAATCTAGTTGAAGGTCATACAGAGAGAAGATAAGAGATTACACCTACTAGTCAGGTAAATGCCAGAGATGCTGAGGTGTATTCCCTGCTCTGATTCTAACACAGTCTATGGGCTACACTGATTTTTCTGTTATCACCCTTCCTTTTTGTGTCACTAAAAGGGAAGATGAATTGCTTTTTTACAGTACTGTCTTATTGGTATGATCAGGTAACGTTGGCATCTTCTGAGGATTACAAGCATTATAATTAACAAATGTTATTAAGACATTGCTTGGGGTAGTATGCACATCAGCCCCAGCCACTCCTCTGACACCAGGATGGGGACAGATTCTTACCTTGATGTCTAGAATAAATTTAGTGACACAATTCATAACCATTTTTTATCAGGAAACACAGATGTGTTGTGAAACAGATTTAAGGCCTGATCTAAATACTATGTAGGTGTGAATTCTGGAAGGGATAGGAGGTGGGTAATATAGACATTTCCATTTATTACAGACATTGCACAATGCTGTAAATCAGCTTCTCTTTCATATATATAGTCTATTTGGGTCAGAGACCTCAAAAAGAAGCTTCTGAAATAAATTTTCCCATCTGAAACTTCTGGAAGTATTTTTTTGTAAGATATATAAACTTGCTGTGCTTGGAAGTGACTTATGCTAGTCCTAGGAGGTACAAATTAGTATCCTGCAAACCAAGTCAGTGTCTACAGCACATCAACAGATTTCCAGTTTTTTTGAAAGGCCCAGCACTGGAATAAATTATGAAAATAGGGCAAGCAAAGTGACACCTATTGAGATCTGCTTAGCAGTAGAGTGCTAGCAGGGTACATCTCTAACAGGCAGGAGAGATTCAAAATTTTAATCTGATTGTGTTGCCTGCCCTCAGAGTAACCTATGACCTGTTCTCTACTTTTCTGTCTTACCTCAAAGTCTCAAGAAATGAACATCCAATATATGAATTCACTTGGAAAAAAAGCCTATATAGTTGGTATACTATCACACACATTTAAGGAGCTCTTTATTTTGGATTTTTTTTTTCTAATTCCCTCTATCAGTCCCTCCCTCATTATCACTCCCTTTTTACACAGCCAGACACAGTCTATCTAATTCCCATGACAGCAAGATCCATATTAGGCATCCAAAGGAAACTCTCAATACCACTTGAATTCCTTCAGTCTCTAAAAATATAAACTTGCCAAATCTCTAGCACCATTGGCATTAACTTCCAATTTTAAGAATCTTCTAACTTTCATACACTCCTGTGAGGGAAAGGAGTTGTTTCCTTTCACAAGGCTGAAAGCTTTAGTTAAATGTAAGGATCATTTTTAATGGCAAACCCAGCATTAACAAGGCACTTTCTGCATATTCTGCTGTGTATGATATTTTCTTCTTCCTAATGATTAATTGATGAGGTTTCAACAAAACAGATCTTTTTATGACAAACAGCTATACCTGGTATTTTTAATGACAATTTGCAACTGTAGTTCTAAGCATGCTGAATTATAGCAAATGTCCAAGATTTTGGACAGCTTCTATCAGCTTCTCAAGTGAAAACTGACATTCAAAAATTGGGTTAGACACTCTGAAAGCAATAAAGAACATTTGTGCTGTCCACCAGGTTAGCCCAGCCTCAAAATCAGTTTCACTTTAAGAACTCATTGAAAACAGGGCTCTAGCTAGAAAATGAGCTTTACTGTATTGGTCTCTCTATTACATTGCTTCACTAAAAAAAGTCACACTTATCTGTCCAAATCCTGAATGTTTGCTTGAACAATTTAAAATAGTTCAGATGGCTACAATATAGCATAATTTGTGGGAACATAATTAGGAGGCATCACATTTCTGTATTAATAGGAACTGAAGAAGCCTTCTTCTTCCAAAATTCATATGCTTTGAGCATGAGAAACAACAGATGCAAATGAAGAGCTGATAGGAGGATGAGAGAATTGGTACTAGCCTGTTACCACGCACTTCTTCTGACAGTCTTCCAGCGTTAGGAAGTTGTTCTCATTGCCATGGCATCCACCGTACTCGAACATTTCACACTCACGGCTTTGCATGTTGAAGTAGTAACGCACGTGGATTGCTTTGCACGGGCCTTCATCTGCCTTCATGGCACAGACTGAATGCCCCAGTTTCAATGGTGGCAAAGCAGCACCTGTGATACAGGGGAGAAGGAGAGTAACTGTTATTAAGCTAGTTTGCTTCACTGCACAGCATAACTTCAAAATGAGATTGCTTGTGTCTCCTGCTGGAGACTAAGCTCAGACGACACTACACATAGGTGTAAAAAGAAAATCATGACATGGGAAAACAAATTCCATTCAGTCCAACCAAATGTGTGGTTTCAACCAAACCAGTTCATATTAAAAACTTGAACTAATCATAAATCTCTAAACAGTGGCTTAATCAAAGGAGCTAGGGAGAAATTCTGAAAAACAGATACACTGAGAAAAATCTTAGCAGCTCCCAAAGACACATATTTAAAAAAAAAAAAAAAAAAAGGCGGAAAGAGGGTTCCTTGTGCTCTCTTCCGTGCACTTTCGGTAGCACACACAGCTCCTAAAGACCTCTCACACCAACAGTGTGGGCTGAACTTCGCCAGATCGCCCGCAGAGGTCACCGCTCCCCCGTTCCATTGCGCCGCTCCCGTACAGGGAGCCAGCCGGAGCCCTGCGGCCACCGAACCGCCCCACCTCCCTGCATCTCCACGGTCCTCCCTTAGAGCTTTCAACAGCTAAGAGAGAACGCTTAGGTGAAAAGAAACTGCACCTTCTCAAATCCTGTCTTTTCTATGTATTCAACATAATTAGGTCAGGACATGTTCTGTAAAGAGTGTCAGACAGGTTGTGAAGAAGAACACTAGCGAAGTTTTGCACTGTCAGTGTCTATAAGGAAAGTCAGATGACCCAGTCTGCAATACTGTTCCCTTATCAATATATGGTTTAATAACTTTTCCTGTTTTGCTTTTCCAAGAAACTATTTTACCCTAGAGAATTTTGAAAGCTTTACAGAGCTTGTACACTTGCAACAGAAGTATTTGTCTATGCTCTTTGTAGGGGCCCAGGAAAGAGGAGGGGAAAAAAACCTCTACTACTACATAGATTAATTTTCCAGTTTTAATTAAAAGAATCCACAAAAATCAGGCTTTATGACATGGCAAAAAGGAAGTTGGTATAACTACTACCTACCTGCTCTGTGGATATCTAATTTTAACTTATAAAATTTGCCAACTTGTATCATCTTAAAATGAAATGCACAGCTGAGATAAATCCTCATAAATACTGAGGTCAATGGAAGTTTACTATTCCATTTGAGCCACTTATAACTATTAAACCTACAGGAAAGAAATATTGTCAGCACTAAAATTTCTGAACTCATGACTTTTAAATCCATTAAAATTAATGAACTTTATTACACAATTGCCATCAATACAAACGTTACAGAACACAATTAGATCCTCCAAAAAATGGACTATTTGGTGTTAAAATACACCTAATTTCAAAATTTTCATTAAATATTCAGTCCCTAAAATAGTTTCTGACTGTTTCCTCATTAGGGACATTTTATGTACAGATTCTGAATTTAGGAAAATAGATTTGAAAATATTACTGAAGACTGTGTGATAGGAAACATCATGAATTAAAAGAAATGTTTTGAAGAAACATTAGATTCAACAAACTGCCTGTGGAACCCTGCTTGCCAAAGATACTCCTGACTTTTTTTTTCTTGACAGTCTCCTTATCTAGGTCTTCCTGAGTCCACAAAGAATTAGGATGTAGAAGTCACAAGAGATTCCAAGTTGGAATCCAAAGTTCTAAACTTCTCCAACAGATTTAGGAATCCTTTGGAAGGGACTTAAAAGGGCTCAACTTCAAAAGTTGAGAGGATATTGTGTTGCAAAACACAACTGTGGACTTCCCCCACTCAGTAATAGGGAAAAAATGCCTTCAAAACATTGAAGTTTTCAGTAACTTTTGGAATAACTCCTGAAATGGTAACATCAAACACTCAGAGCACCACTGAAACTGATCCAATTCAAATGCAGTTGGGGTGACGGCTGGCAGCTGCTTCATGAACATGTTATTTTCTTGGCACACAAGACATGTGACCTCCTACATGACCTGTGTCACAGACACAGCTCAGTCTAAAACAGATTGTGAAAACTTACCAGGTTTCCTAACTACTGGAATTTCTGCCATAGGGTTATGTCAACTCATTTTGCTTGCTATATTATGCCACACCAGCGCTGTGGGCTATCAAAACAGAAACAGAGTGCAACAGAGTTGCAAAACTACACAGAGATGATGAACAAATGGCTTAGCAGAGCTTCTCCTGCGAACTTTGTGGTCTCAACTCCTAGCCTATTTCCCATCAAAACCACAGAACTCAATTATTGTTTTGCTTACCTCCCGAGGCCTTTCCTCTGCAATCACAGTGACACTGTTACCACTGTCAGATATGCTGACATCTGGTACAAACATGATGACTATGTGTGTCACACTTTTTGGCAGGCATCTATTTTCTTGGGAATGCTAGAAAGTCACCATACTTTGACTAAAATCTGTACCCTGTGAAACCCCCAAGGGCCAAATCCTCCAAGTCTGAAAAATGACCAAGTGATTCTGAAGAAGGAAGTCTCAAGGGGATTCATGGGAACTGAATCATTCTTGTGTCTGGGAACAGTGAAAGAATTCTTCCCCATTATTTTACACCTGGGAACACTTAACTGGCACAGAGGATACAAAATTGGCTTCCCTTCTCAGATTAGAAGGCAAGTGTGAGTCACTGGCCACTAGATGTGCATGGATACAAATCTGCCTGCATGCATTTCACACGTGGAATACACCTTGAGAAAATTAATTCTTAGTATAAGATCTCTTCCTCTACTCTTGAACACTGGAACAAATTGTTCTTAACACATTTTAGGTCCTGTGTGAAAAGCACAGAATGTAACACTTAGGGAAGATGTCTGTCAGGAAGGTCAGTGAATATTCTGCAAGAGAAATGTGGGAAGTTAAAATTGGAAAGAGTTTTAATGGAGTTTCTCATTCAAGTTTTGGGATATTTCAATGAGATAAAACTTTGAGACCTTTTCTGACACATGACCAAATTGTTCTTAAAAAGCTCCAGTGAAATTCCCAGTAACTTCAAGGACCCAGGTCCAGTATTTCACTACACTTGTTGCAAGACAGGCCTTTTTGTAATAGAGAGCCTAAACATTCTTTAATACATATTAAATCATTTTGTACTCCTGGCAGTGCACAGACAGATTAAGTTTAAATCATATATATGTAGTAAATTTATTTTGATTTTCTAACCCACCATTTGTGTCTTGCAATTCCAGGCAGCTGCAGGAGGGAAAGTGGCCTCTTGCACTCTCAGCCTTTACTTTGGTCTCTCCAGGTTCAGGCTCCGTCCCAGGGTGCTTGAACCCTTCATGTTGCAGCAGCCCTCCAGGACTCATGGCATCATAGCCCACCTCTGGTCTACTTTCTTTCTTTTGGAGGAGTTTTGTCTCCTATTAATTATCTCTATACTAAATAAACTCCTTTCTTCCAATCATTTTATTGGCCTTGCTTTCTAACCCCTTACAAATCTGCTTTGGATCTTTCCCTGCTGGTCTGGATTACTGTTAGTGTGCTGCCCAGAGCTGAACATAATCCTCCACTTGAGGCATTACTGATGCCAAATAGAATGGAATAATTATCCTTTGGGGTTTTTTCTTAATACAAGACAGAATTACTTGCCTTATTGTACAACCTTGCATTATTTTTGTAATGCTTTGCAACTTCCACGGAGTTTCCAGCAAATATAACCCTGTCATACAGGTGCTTCAACAGTTATTTTCTACCTTGGATTGATTCCCCTTTAAGCGTAGCATGTTACGTTTGTCCTTTTAAAAAGAAAATTAACTTAATCCTCCACATTGTATCTGGCACTGTTGGATATTTATTACTCATCCACTTTAGGCATCTGGTACAAATAAACTTAGAAAATCTGTAGAATTACAGAACTGTACTATCCTAGACTAAGAAAACTGAGTTTGTTTTGCTAGAAATAAGTAACAGTTGCAGCTCAAGCTCCCTGTCACACCAAAGTTATTACCTGCCATACTAACATCAAAATAAAGCAAAGCAAAACCTCCCCTCCTTCTCCTCTCTTCCTTGAATTTTTAACTTAATGATTTCATTATATCAGCTACATAGGCTTTCCATAACAGAAGGCACTAAGCATCCACTGCTTTGTTTTAGCAATCTTTCCACTCCATGGTTTGTGGGAAGTGCAAAGTAGTGCTGATGAAATGGCTCCCAAAGAGCACGAGTTTAGTGCAGATATTTTCTGTCACTACCTTCTTCCTCTATTCTTTCAGTCTTCCTACTTTGGCAGCAGTCAGAAACAGGGTGCTGGCCAGAACTGCTGGGACACAGCACAGCTGTTCTCACATTTAGTGTCATTCACCTGGCAACTTGTGCAGTTCAAGACCTGGCTGTTTAACACAGGATCAGCCACTCTCAACTAGCAGGCAGGAATTTCATGGTGAGAGCTTTGCTATACCTGCAGTTAGAGATGCAGTAGCCTCCAGCACATGGACCTTATGTGATCCATGCACAGCACTGTTATCACTTTACTAGTAAGCAGTATAATACAAAACCAGAAGTGGTGAATAATGAATCTTCTTCTATTAATACAAGTAGACCAAATACTTTTTCCCCTGGCCATAGGCTTAATAAAAGACTAACTTGACTTTCAGAATCTTAAGGATAATCTGCAGGGCTGGTTGTTAAAAATACATCCTTTTAAGTAGAAAGTGAACTGATTTCTGTATTATACCTATAGAACCATAAATATGAAAGTGAACAGTATTATTGCAGAGTTGCTTTTCAAAATAGAACCATATAAATTAAATTGGAAAAACAAAACTTGGTCAGGAATATTTCTTTTTATGTAAAATACTTTCTGGTTTTGTTTGCTTAAGGTTATGGGTCCTCAACTTTACATGAGTTTCTGTGGTTACCCTTAATTATAAAGATATGCTGTCATCTTTCCAGGCTTTCTTGTAAATGTCTCTCTTTGATAAGTGATATCAATACTGAGCACCTTGTCACTAATGAATAGCTATTTCTTCTCTCTTCATCTTTGTCAGTTTGACAGCCTCCCACCCACACACACCATTCAGAGCTTTTCCTACCCAAGTGTTTCCTACCTCTTCTTTAAACAGTCACATTTATTCTTGGTAAACATTCACATATGAATAAAAAGCACATTCAACTTGTGAATCATTTTCTTCAGGCTTTGGAACATCAACTAAAGCACTCCCAACCATGTAAGCTGTTACTGAATAATATATATACACTAGTTATTTTTAATCCTTTATTTTTGATATTATCCTTTTTATTGCTGGTGGAAAAATGACAGGCTTTGCTAGAAGGGAACAAACTGAAAATCCTTTCTTATCCCATTGAACTTGACTTGCAACCTTAATTATTACTATAATTTAAATACTAATAGACAAATAAAACCCTCTTAGATTCACAAAGCACTTATACTAAATGTGATCCACAAGTATGACATCACAAATAATGGATGTACACAACTTAACTTTATTCTTTAATACCTGAAATTTATTGAATTCTGGGATAAAATGTTCTATAACCATCTGACTCAGAAAATAAATGTTATCAATGAAATTGCAGCCTATAAAATTTCTAGAGATAAATTCAAGACCAGAATTTCACTCTTATGAAACCACAAATATAGTTTTAATTAACAACTCAAATAATTTTATAAAGAGATTACTGCAAAAATATTTTTTTTTGTAAACATTGCCACTGAGTCTCCAATAGTCACAAAAATGCTGGGGCCTATAAATTGGGTCCTAGTTTAATTTCTAAGCATCACATTTGCTTGTTTTTTTACTTTGGAATACAAGCCCAAATCAATTACTGGTTATATACTCCTAAATAATTGGTTGTAAAATAACCAGTGATAAAATAATGCTCAATAAAAAGATTACTTAATTTCATTGAAATAATTTTCTTATTATGTTTTATAAATGAAGTAAATAGAAGGCAAAAAAATAACCTGGCAAATTTCTTGTTCTGTATTTTTCCCTCATCTGCTTTATAAAAATTGGTTTTGGAGAAATTTAAAATATCTTTCACAATGATCTCCGGTGTAGAATTATGATCCACCTTACTTAATTCTAATGAAGTGAAAGTAAACAATGACCTTACAATGGTAATCCGCCAAGAACTTCCCCAGTTCTAAGTCACACTTCTGACAGTATTATTCTTAATAAAAATATTGAATTAGTGAGGTTTTATGTATCCAGCAATATCAAATCACTTGGGGCTATACAAAGAGCTACTTCAAGGCCCAGAAAAACAACTAGGGCAGTAATTTAGACCACAAATCTTTAGTTGAAACTTGACAAATGAATTGTATCTGAAGAGAGCTGTGTACAGGACAGATGTCATTTATCATATTTCTGCTCCGTGTGCATGGGGAGATAAAACCAGAGTTTACCAGCTGTATGTGTGTTCTTTTCCCTAAACACCGAACTTTTCCGTGGGTCCTAAAGCAGAGCTTTAAGGGAATAATCTCAATATCCAATACAGCATTTAATTAGGGTTGGATGTTCCAAAAACCATGGGAAACAGAAGTCTTTACACAGGTAGTTTTGCTAGAGATTAATGCAAGCTTCTGAGCATCCTCCTGTTAGAAATCAGTGCCTTTTAGCTTAGTTCCACTTTCACAAGTTTCCCAGAAAGGTTCTCAAGTACAGAATTACATCCACAGTGCATTTTAACATAGGGGTTTCACTGTTTGAGATAGTTTTATGTGTAATTTTTGAAAGCTCTTACCCAAAACATCCTCCTCTTCACTGTCATCGAAGTCAGTAGTCACACATCCAGTGACACAGATGAACAGCAAGGTTAAGGTTAAAGGTAAAGAACGTCCCTTCTTTCTTCCTTTCATCTTCCCTGTATTAAATAACAATATACACTTCCATGAGATTTCTTGAGAGCAAACCATAAAACTAACTAAACATTCCTTACGCATTTCTGAATTCTAATTCCAGAATAGCCTCAATATCTCCTTTAGCTCCCAACAGGTAGTTTCCCAATAGATACTCTCTTTTCTTAAGGTACAACACTAAACTTTGGTGGAGCTAATTAATATTAATGTAACATAACTTAAAGAACTAAGGAATAGAAAGTTCCTAGCAATGAGACACTGTTTTGCCTCTAGTGTGTTTGTTTATGTGCCTGTGAAGATCCCACGGCTGCATCACCCAGAGCAGCGAGGGCAGGAGGGGCTATGGGAGTAGATGAGACCTGTCACTGTGCTTGGGGTACAGCTCTATAGCAGGAAGGCTCAACAGATGATACTAAAGTACCACTTGACATTAATAGAAGTCATCTTGAACAGATGAAACTTCTCTCTGAGTGATATGTCTTCATCTGTGAAATATGAAACTTATCTAAGAAAACACTAGTGAGCTAAGCTGTCTCAGAAAGGTAAAAACCACACCGAGGCAAATTCACCAATTTGCAGTTGAATCTTCAACACCAAATCAGAGCCAGAATTTTAATTTCTCTTTTGACAACTTACCAATCTTTTCAGCTTTCCTAGTCCATGCTACGATTTCCAGAATCAGTCTAAGCCTTGGCCTAATAACAACTTTTCTTCCACACAAAGCTTTGTGGCCTTGGAGGAATTTTACTTTTTTATCCAGAGATTAGAGAAATAGTTACAGTATATCTTTTTATTCATCCTTGATAAAAAGTCCAGTCATGCTTTAGAAGAGGAAGAAAATAACTCTGTACAAGGTAACCTGAAGTTGTCTAAGATTGTCTTTATTATCTGAGAGATGACTGAGTTATGATGTTAGTTTGACATGAACTAAAATTAAAATAAATCCACCACTAAGAAAAACTGTATGGGGAGAAATAACAAAATATTTCAAAAAACTGCACAAGACTACGTACTTAGCCTTATAGTGTAAATAAATGTAGTGGTAGTTTGACATAATCTAAGCTACATAAAAGCAGAAATATCAGCAAATATTCTGTACAGATCTGATACTTAGCAATAAATTTCAAACTTTGCCTGGTTCCTGTGAGTTCATGGAAATGAAACATTACAGAATACACTTTCAATTTTAGATTTTGAAATTATATGAGAAATTTTCTAAGCATGCTGTTTTCTTTAGAAGTTTTAATTTGTGATTTTGGCCACAGTTGTTATCCTTTGTAAAGGAACATGTACATTATCCACAACCTCAGTTGCCTGTGGATTAACTCCAAGTTTGCTGCTGGGTTCTCATTTTTTATAAATATATATATTTCCCCCACCCCCCAAAATACAACAGCAAAACTCTCACTAGTTGAGGAAAATCCTATCTGAATTTGGTTTTGGACCACTCAGGTTGAGGTCTTGTTTCCATCTTCCAGGATTCTGCAGAGTATAGATTTAAATCAGAAAACTTAGCAAGCAATTTTTACTTAGTGAGCCAATAACCACTAAAGCTTGTTCCCAAGTAGAAGAAAAATGTAGGAAACCATCAGCCACAAATGGAAATCCTCAGTAAGTTTCTCTTTTTCATTTGAGAACGGATTTTTGCTTGTCTCAAGCAAATATGTAATTGTCACTATGTCATTTTGAGGATAAATTAGTGCTTTTGTGCAAAAAACCAAAAATCTTATCAGGGTAGAGTATTTCTTTTCTTCCACTCAACTCCTACATTCCCTTAAAAGAGTACGTCAGAAGTAGACCTTCCTGATGCTTGGGTATTTCCCAAGAGAAAAAAAAACAGGCTGTCTAACCACATAGCTACCTCACTGCAAAGTCTGCTGACCAAACACAATCTCCTTTATGTTCTTGCTGACCTTCCCCAAGGTCATACATTCCAAGAACATTGTGTCAGGTATGGGTGGAGGTGAGATGAAGAGGATGAAGGTTTTAGTACTGAAATGCTTAAATCCTTTTGTAGTTTAATTACTTCTTATAATTCCTAAAGGAAGAGTGAAATCCAAGATCAAAGTTGAACTTGGCACTGCTTTTTCAGTTAAAAACCCCAAACCCTCAAGAAAAGCCCAAGTTTTCAGATTTAATGTTCAGCTGCCCAGTAACATAACTTTAAAGTTCTAAGCCTCTTATGATATTGATTTTGTTTCCTTTTTTAATGCATTCAATTTATTTTTATTGTCTTTATATATAAAGCACAGTTCAAAGTACTTCATCTATGACATCTAGCTCAGTAAAATATCCAGTGCACATATTTTTGAAGGACTATCTGTTACAGGAACGATAGAAGATGTTTTGAGTTTAAATAATTTGTATTAAATGGTCAGATTATTTAGGCCATATTCTGAAAATTTTTGGGAGTAAACATAGCCCCTTACTCCAGAAGGGCTCTAATTTGGGACAGTCAGGAATGAGTCCAGGATTAACACTGTTTTTTCTCTATATTGAAGGGTCATTAATTCAAACTCCACAAATTCCTAAGACATTTCCTTGGCACTCTTCTGATCCCAAACTAACTGCCTTTTGAGTGAAACATTTTTACATCTGTAACAGACAACATCTATGTTACCTGTTCGAAATCAAAGGTCGATGGGCATTAATTGGCACCGATGTATTTACTGGTTTAGTGAAATTCTTTCATTTGTGAACAATGCCACTAGCTTCCCTCAGCTTGGAATACAGGTAGACAAAGCAGACCACAAGCCATCAGGGAAGTTTCCAATAGCAAATCCTTTTTACCTGGTCCTATAACCAGGCCTTTTTTTGTCCTGCCACCTAAACACCTTTTATGTGTGTGTATATATATATATATATATATACTTCTTTTTTCTACTTACCAGTCTATTCAGCATCAGTTTCTATACATACCAGAATGTTTAGAAGGAAACATTTCTTCTGCGTGCTATTTATCTCTAACTAGCTAACTGGAAAAAGCAAAATAAAAGCTAGCATTTCTGGTAGTAGCCAAAACCAGATAGCTTTAGAAAATGGCATAAAGTGGCATTGTAATGACTGCAAAAGTGATTCATTCACATTGACAGCCCAGGAGATGGAAGTGCCCATGCACACAAAAAAACAGGCAACAGATGTAAGTAAATAGAGGAATGAATAGCAGGAGATAGGACTTGCATAGTCAAAGGCTGAACTTAGCACAGCCTACAATTAAAGGTAAAAAGGTTTAATTAGACAGGATTATATCACCTCAGATATAAAAGCAGACTATATTTTTTCAGTTCACTATATTTTAAGGGCATTCTGTTTGTCCTATGATATCTCGTGCTGCCTGCTAGGATGTGTATGAGAGATGTAATTAGCCATACCTGTCGCATGGGCTCCCAGCTGGCAGTCAGTGAGTTCCCTTAGAAAGTGTTTTATTCCTTGGGCTATTTTGCAGTTGTTTGAAGCATGATGTTTTCTTATTAACTCTGGAGAAAGTATGAAGAGCAAAGTATGCTCTTCATCACCTCTGCTCTGATGTAAACTGAACAAAGAATGCCCCAGATTTCCAAGTCCCAGAGGCAGTGTCACTCTGTCATTCAAACTGACTTTGGCCAGAGCAAAGCCCTGCAGTGTCACAGGAACATAATAAAAAGGGAAACTCTCTACTGTACAGCACACGACCACTACTGATTCACAGCATGATCAATCAAAACTCACCCCCTGCCCCCACCAACATATCTCCCCCTTCTGTGCCCTACTGTAGCAGCCCTAATAATTTTTATCAGTCCTGAGACCAGAGACTCCTTCAGATTTCTTCAAGAAATTCAAAATTCCTTCTTGTGAGAGAGCATTTTCATTGGTTATCTACTTTCCATCATTTAACGTAAATGTTGACTCTCTGATGCACTATTGCAGTCTCTTAAATTCTCAAGTGAAAACTAGGAAGTGAAGTGAAAATTGGGAAATTAAAAAGAAAACCAAAGGTGTTCATTAGCTTCTATGCTGGAAAAGTTGTAAGATCTGATGTCACTGTTTAACATTTAAACTCCCACTTAGGTTCTGGTTTTATTAAGGTTGTAAATGCTGCTTTGCAAACACAACTCATAAAGGAACTGAAAACAAAACATAACTAAACAAAACAAATTAATATGCCTACCACAAGAATACCCTTCTTTTTTGTTTTTCACATAACTATAGGCTTCTCTTTCCTTTTCACTTCCTTTTGTCAGCTCCTTTCACTTGTGCTTTAAAACTGTTTTCCATTTTCCAAACTTACCTCCAGGACCTATTTATTGCCTTCTCCTAGTCAGCTCACATCTGGCCCCAGGGAATTCTGTCATCCTGTCTCCGCTCCTCATATGACACAGCTCCAGACCCTGATTTCCTCCTCCACTGAGTTTTTCTTCTTACCTGGCTCAGTCAGGGCCTCACATCCATAATATCCACCACCCGAGAGCTAGGAACTGGATATATTCTGGGAGGCAGAGATGGTGGGAGTACGCTTTGGCAATAGTAGCCTGGAAATAATTTTCCTAATTCCCTGTAGCACAGAGCACCTGATACAACAGTCCTAGTGAATTATAAACTCTGAAATGAAGAGTGATTTTTAAACATAGCTCAAGAATGTAGTTACACAGGAACACTGGATTTACCTACACTAAGTCATATAACTACTAGTGATACCTTTATGGAGAACTAAAGATTTTGGAGCTACTTCTACTGGCCCTAGGGAAAAACACCCCAAATAAAACAAATGATACAGGATTCAACGTTACGAGCTTATCATAATCAAAGGACATACTGAGAACACTATTTGGATTTCAGCTTCCATCTCATAGAAGACAGATTGAAACAGTAATAAAGAAATAAGCCAGTTAATTATTTAGATGTAGCAACTTCATCTCTCTGACATGCCACATTCCAACTGGACGTATCCAATGGATATACTCCACGTATACAGCCCATTTTCATTGGGACAAAGCTTTCCACAGGGAAAGGAAATATTATTT